GACCACCAAGGAGCCGACACCGATGCAAGTGCACAAGGGTTGTTTATTCAAGCTCGGGCTCGGACTCCACTTGCGTCTGATGCAGCGGATTAGGGATAGAGCCCTGAACCCTTTGTCTGTGGGGTTTTTATAGAGTTTTCAAACAAGCTCGGGTTTATCAGCTTTACAATTTTTGGATTGGTTAACAATTGGCAAACTATGAGATGTTACAGTTTAATTGGTCAGGACTGGTGGTCTTTGTTCTTAGGCTAGGACAAAGGAAAACATCTGGCATCTGGCCTTGAGCTGCCTGGCTATTTATACATATATCATTTTCTTGGAGCTAGAAGATGTGCTAAAGCTTATATACAAAATGGATTCTTCTCTTTGGTCCTACAATTCCTGCGGTCACCAAACCCTCTGTGGGACCATGAACCATATAGTTGACACTTAAACCCCTCCTTTACATTGGCAAGCTACAGGCACTGAGCCTCAGGTGCCACTTGGATGGTGCCCCACATCCCTGGAAGCTCCAAGGACTCAAGTGTCGGTTCTGTACACTCTCGTCTGGTCCCAGAACAGGGACCTTGAAGCCCGCCCCAACCGCCATGGGGTCTCTTCTCCATCTCCTTCCCCTTATGTCAACAGGGAACAGAGGTTGGCTGAGGAAATTCGTGGGGGGAGGGAGGGAAGAGAGGAGCTTTTTTGGAAAGCAGGAGCTTTTGGTGCTGCTCTCACAAGGGCAGAAAGCAAGCCCTTACCTCACAGCAACTGGGGGCTGAACCTGTGGAAGCGCTTTCCGGGGTCTGGGCAGGGTTTGGGCTCTGTGCACCCCCCACAGCCTGATCCTGTGAAGCCAGACTGTGAGGTCACATAGAGGCACAGTGGCTGCACCAAAGTGTATGAGGCTGCTGGAGTCCCTTGGGGCCTCCACGTCAGCCCTCAGAGAGCACCCATAGGTCATTGTCCCTCTGCTCAGAAGTGTCTGTCAGGACCAGAGCCCAGGGCTTAGAGGAAGAGCTGGGTCTGTGATGCTGGGTCCCTCCCAAGGACAGCGTGCCCCCCCCCAGGACCTGAAGCAGCTGTTGTTGTTGTTGTCAAGTGCCATAGAGTCAATTCCGACCCACAGCAACCCTGTGGGTTCCCAAGTGGCAGCTGATGAGCTTGAACCGCCGACCTTGCATTTCAAACGGCTTTGCAGTATGGCACATTAACCCACAGCGCCACACCAGAGCAGCTGTGGGAGGGGGAAAAAACAGCAATTTCTTAAGAGCAGTGGTGCTCGGACCACAGCCTACACTTCCTCTTCTGGGGAGAAGCTGTGCTGGCTGAGAGGCGTGCAGCATGGCCCCAAGTTTTCAGCAGGTGGTCCCAGTGCTCTGGATGGTCGGGGTAACCCAGGGAGAGAGCAGATGCCTCCTGAGAACAGGCCTGGGCTCCATATACTGTCCAACAGGAGCACTTCTCAGAGCAGAGGAGCTGCTGACTGTATTCCCTATTACCCCAGACAACAGGCAGAAGCAGGGACTAAGGCTTACCCTACTAATGACCAATTCCTAGCTCTGTGGACTTGGGCAAGTTACAGAACCTCTCTGAATTTGTTGCCTCATTTAAAAAAAAAAAAGGCTAGTATCACGTGCCTGCCTCTGAGGGCGGCTGGTGAGATTAATGGAGAACAAACATCACATTATTTTAAAGTTCCTGAACATCTCTGGGACGAGTTCTCTCTAGGGAGAACATAGGCAGTTGGAAAGGATGGTGGTGAGGGCAGAGCAGCCCTTTGCCCATGCCTCACTCAGACCTTCTTATACCTAGAGGGGCAGTAGTGGGTCGTGGGTTGGGCTGCCATGGTGGGCATGTGCCTACGGAAGTACTGGACTGTTAACCTATACAGGGTTGCTATGACACTTAGGACCCCATCAGGGCCCAGCCCAATGTTTCTGCATCTTTGGCTGCTAGAGGCCCTGGACTGTGGTTCAGGGAGTCTGCTTTGTCCTCCAGGGACTGGCTGTGTCCAGGGATGCCCGGGAAGGCTGAGCGCCAAGCTGGACGAACGCTGCTTGCTTTGCTGTGCCTGTTCCCAGGGTCTGAGCAGAGTCTCATTTTTTCCCTAAGAGTTGGACAAGAGACCTGGCTCTGTGACTTGGGGTTGTTTGACCTTGAGCAAGTCAGACTTCTGTGGGCTTCAGGTTCCTGAGGGTGGGTGAGGATGAAGGGCTGACTTGTCCTCAGGGCTGTGGCTAGTGCTGTCCCTCACTGCTCTTGCTCTCCACTAGGCAGTCCCTGGCCTTTGTCTTCCCCCCAGGGCTTTGGGAGGCAGAGGCTGGCACTCCTGAGGGGAGGGAATACATCTTGAGTGTCTGGTGCTAAGGGAGAGGGGTAAAGTAAATGGACGGATGAGGTCAGGGCTGAGGAAGTGGTCCAGGGTCTGTGGGCTCAGCTCTGCTCAAGCCTACCCCCACCCTAAGACCAGAGCAAGCAACTGCAGGGAGACATAGTAGGGGGATGGGCTGACGGTTCCTCACTGGTGTTGTAGTCATTCTGCTTCTCGCCAAGGTCACATTATCCCAGGAATCTCAAGTATTGGCTGCTTTCTCTGAAGGTGCTTCAGACCAACTGAGTCAGTGAGTCAGGGCTTACCAGGAAGATGGTTTCTCTGAAAATGTTATCTCCCCAAACTGTTACTGGAAACATTTGCTCTGGGAGTCATCCTGAGGTTAATAGTGCTCAGCCCTCAAAGCCCCTTACGTTAAATGTGGGCCAAATACCTCAGGTGGTGGTCCTGGAGACAGGAAGCTGAGGGTGACTCCTCAGGGCAAGCACAGAACTCACCTCAGTGCTAAGTCTCCTGGCAAAGGTGGTTTACAGCCAGCCCCTCCGACTAGGGAAGGTCCCACTTGAGTCCTCCTGAGCACAAGGAGAGAAGAAAGCTATCAAGGGTACTTACTTACAGGTAAGTAATGGGATTTCTCCAAAAATGAGCTAACTAGAACTCTAGCAAGAGGTGCCAAGATGCCATCTTAAGACTTTCTAGAAAACAGACTATTAGACTTTCCTAATGCGTCAGACTGCAAAGCTGTTTGAACTGCAAGGTCGGTGGTTTAAGCTCACCAGCTGCTCCTTGGGAACCCTATACAGAGTCACTATGGGTTGGAATTGACTCAACGGCAATTAACAATACTACAGGAAGGAGCTCTGGTAGCACAGTGGGGCTGCTAACCTCAAGGTCAGCAGTTGGAAATTACCAACTGTTCCGTGGGAGACAGATGAGACTTTCTGCTCCCATAAAGGTTTAGTCTCAGAAACCCTATATAGGGTTGCTATGAATCAGAACTGACTCCATGGCACACTACCCACCTCCCCCCCCCCCCCAATACTAGAGGAGTCCTGGTTTGGTGCTGTGGGTTAATACCTGGACTGCAAAGTTGTTTGAACCACAACGTCGGTGGTTGAAGCTCACCAGCTGTCCCTTGGTAACCCTATAGAGAGTCACAACTGACTTGATGGCACTTAACACCAACAATAATGGAGGAGTCCTGGTGTGGCACTGTGGGATAAAGCACTGGATTACAAGGCTGGTTTGAACTGTGAGGTTGGTGGTTCACACTTACCAGCCGCTCCTCAGAAACCCTAATCAGGGTCGCTATGAATCGGAACCAAGGTGTCGGTATTTAACAATAACAAATACTAAAGGAGCGAGAGCCCTGGTAGTGTGGTGGGTTACACATTGGGCTGTTAACCAAGAAGGTCAGCAGTTCAAACCCACCAGCTGCTCCATGGGAGAAAGTTGATGCTACCTACTCCTATCAAGATTTAGTTGTGGAAACCCAAAGGGGCTACTTTGTCCTATAGGGTGGGACACCAACACGGAAGTATCCTCTCCAACATGATATGAAGTTTTGACCACTCTCTTGTTGACCTTGGATCTGGAATATTATTGAATGCTAATAAATTGATAGGCAAAAAACCTGTATCCCATTGTATCACTTTTTACTTTTAATTTGGGAGAGCACCTTCTACACTATACTTTTTCTTCTGAGAATAACATTTATATCCTGTGCATATTTTTCTACTGGGGAGTCTGTCTCTTAATGCTTTAGAGCTATTATTTACATATTATGGAAATGAATTCTTTGTAATGTATTTCCCCCATTGCTGTCTCATATATAAAAAAAGTCTTAGTTTGTGGCTGACTGCTTCCACGAAACTGCCTCCTTTGCCACGAGACCACAAGAGCTGGGGAGTGGCAGGTTACGATAACTGAACATATTGATCAAAGATTCTATAGAAGAATCCTGATCAAAAGGTGTGAAATTCAGAATGGAATTCCAAGATCTCATGGACCCCAACTTTCTGGAGTCATGGAGGGACCCCTGGAACCACTGCTGAGATAATCTTTAAATCTCAAACCAAAAATATCCCCTGACGTCTTAAAACCCAACAAAAGTCTTGCTTAACTAGTAAAGAATGTCTGCTGGCGTATTCTGTTTGTTCCAAGAACTGTCTCTGTGGAATCAAGGTGACCGCAGCAACTCTGTAGATTAGACAGGAACCTATAGACAGAGCGTGGTGGAGGAGCAATTCAGAAAAACGTCATCAGTGTCACTGAATTGTACACACAGAAATGGTTCAATAGGGGTATATTTATCTGTGTCCACTCTCAGCAACAGCAAAATTATAAAAACTCAAAAGAAGTCTTTCAGGGTTAAATTTGCAAGCCTTTTCCTCTGGCTTCTGGGTTTCACGTTGTACTCAGAATTTCTCTCATTGGGATGATTCAGCTGCTGTGCAGACATTCTGAGAACCAACGGCCACCACACTTGCCGTGGCAGCAGAACATGCTTATTCAAAAGTGTTCATTTAAAAAATGAGAAGTATCACCCCCAAGCATTTATTTAAATATTAATAGATACTGGGTAAAAAAATTACAAATGGTATAATCAGACTAACAGTTTCAGATTCACAGATGGTCAGATGCTGACAAACAAGAAAGGCGATCCATGTACATTGTGACTCGGTTGTTAAGAAAATGCATACGATGGCATAAGAAATGGTCTATTTTTAGGCTTTGGTGGAGCCATAATCCCTAGTTTCCTACTAGCTACTGAAGTCACTTGAGAACCAAGGAAGGCTGAGCTGGATCCAAATGTGTCCGAGGGCTTAGTTTTAGAAGATGTCTTTCTGCACGTGGTAGAGCCCCTGAAATGTGACAAAGAAAAGCAGGTTGAAATGTTCAATAAACCCCACACCGAACAGTCTTCTTTCCTCCTTCCTCGTGGAGCTACTAGCCTCAGTCTGCCTAGGTCTTATTCAGTCTTTGTATATTTTCAGCTTCACCCCCGCGGGGTAAGCAAGCTTCCTTCACGCCTGAAGGACTAAAGGGCTGCTTGCTGCCTTCACACAAAACGTGTCCCACATTTTCGCTTTCTAAAATGCCCAGGATTGTTCCTCAATTCTGTGTCTTGTGACCAACTCTATGTGCCCTCTCCCCCACTCCCCGCCAGAGATGGCAACTACGGCCCACATATCTGCACCTACTCTACCCCAAAGGAGAGAGGGGGAAACATCTGGTCTCCGGGCCCCTGCTTCCCTGGATCAGACACCTCAGAAATCACCTACATAGGCATTCTGGGTGTTTTCATGGGTTTAAGTGGAGTTGGACCCGAGCTGAGGGAGAGGCTGCAATTGTCTCTGGGCCTCACCCACCACCTGACCTGTCTGCCACAGCACAGTGACCCCTGAGCTCCATGCCAGCACTCAACCCCTCTGCCCTTTTACAATCAGGGCAGAGCTGCTGCCACAGCCTTGGGCCAAGTCCATCCAGTGCCTCCCTTCTCTTGTTGGCCTGAAAACAACAGCTCTCCCCACCCCAACACAACCCCAGCCCCCCTCAGGACCAGCATGGGCCCCTCCGAGAGGGCAGCATTGTCTAGAACACAGCGTTGTTGTTGTTCTCAGGTGCTGTTGCGGAACAGGAATTCTAGAGCACAACCATGAAGGTGATGCGCCCATCTCTAAATTCCTGGGTCGAATATCAGGGCCACCAGCCTGAGGGGACGACAATCCAGTAGGGCTGAGTGCAGAGTGGTTTTTCCACATTTCTCCATTCTTGCTGGAGGGCAATCTTAATGCAGAACAAGGCAGAAATGTGCTAAGGCGGCAAAGAAGCAGCCTCAAATGTCCCCGTGCTGAGTTCCAGCTGAGAAAGGAAGCCCTGGGCGAAAAGCTGCTGTTGCTGTTGATTTACAGAATAAATCTGCCAACAGCAGCTCCTTCCTGTAGGCCAGCCTTGGGACTCCCACTCAGTGGGGCCGGACACTAGCTCATTGTCTGGGCTTCGGCAGATGTAAGAGGTCTCTGGACAGGTGCCACATTCTCTCACTGCAAGGAGATGCCCGCCAGGTGAGCACAGCCCAGGTATGGAAACAGGGAGGCCAGAGTCAGGCACAAAGATTATTTTCCTTCTTAAAGAGGCTGCTACCAGAGTGGGGGTCGGGAAAAAAAAGTTTTAAAACTAACTGATTTTAGCCAGCAGGGATCTGGGAAAAGAAAAGAAAAAAATCCTATTTTAAAAAATATCAGCTCATTAAAAACTAGGATTAGCTCTGTGATGGCTTTTGGACAAGTGTGAGTTTTACGGTGGCTGATTTGATTCAATTCAAGACGACAGGGTAAACCAAGTGCTGCAGCTTCATAAACATGGTTTGCTTTTGTCTAACAACTAAACCTGAGATGTGCCTTCTTCAAGGAGTAGCCACTGAACAAGCCAAAATGAAAGTGCTCAGGGTGGCGTGGGTGAGTGCCCAGGCGTACGTTCTGGTCAAGTGTGGGCTGCTCAGACAAGCCATCCCCAGGCAAGGCCTCAGCTTCCTCATCATAGACCTGAGGGGGCTGGACCAAATGCCTGTTAAGGTCTCCTTCTGCTTGGTGTGAGATACTGTGGAAATGAGTTATTTCCCTAAGCGGAGGAATAAATGAAGAAAATAAGAAAATGTCCCTGCTGAAGAACATCTGCTGGTCACTTGCGCACTGAGAAAACCACAAGATTAAACTAACATTTACTAATGCCTTCTGTGCTCTGGCAGAAGGATTAGCACATACAAGATGGCTTTTTTTTATGGAGTTAACAAGAAAATGACAGTTTGGTAACGTTTGTCTTCCCTTCCCCCACCCACTTTTTGTTATTAACCAGAAGGAAAAGAGGTAGAAAAACTGCCAAAGAAACACAACGCTTGCAGAGCTCGCCGAGGACTTCCTTTCCTCTTTTTGCGAGCAGTTCTGTTCCATTGTGCAGTTATCTTGGGGTCACACTCTCCAGATGAACGGGGTGGCCATGATCCTGTCAGACCTTACCTACAAGGCAGAAAGCAGGGGTGCCCCTCCGAGACAGGAAACAGGGCTGTCAGAAACAATGCAATAATGAAGAAACGAGGGCCGCTGTCAAGATCATTACCTAGCAGCCAACGCTGGTATCTTTGTTCTTCTTTTGGGGTACAGAGGACTCCCCAAAGCAGATGTGTCCCAGCCTGGGGCATCTGGGGGAGACCTAAGCCAGATACATGGCCCCAAGAGGTGCTTGGCTTGACTGGCCATTTGGCCTTTCTCCTTCCAGCCCCTCACTGACCTCCTGCCCAGGTGGGAGCTGTATTCTCCGGGCATTCATGTGTGGCTGAGAGTGTGCACAAGCCTCCAAAGTGGAGGCGCACAGGGCTTTGCAGCAAGTATTGACAGAATTATAAAAGCAATGAGAAAACAAAGCTACCCATTGCTATTTATGTGGAGAGGTTATGATTTATAGCACTATAAATGGAAAAGTCTCTTAAGAACAATTAGAAAAAACAAAACAAAGCCACTAAGGCAAAGTCAAAATTTTGCAAATGAGAAAACTTCATCCACTGAGACAGTAATAAATATTTTAAACATCTGAAACAAATGTCAAGTTTTGGAACAAACCTTAGTCATTGCTCCACTAAGTGGAGAGGCAATTATTTAACAATGGCTTATTCTAATAAATGCTTCAAAGCAAACCAGAGGCGCTGTAACTCTCTACTCTTTTCCCTTTGGGACCACATTGCAAAAGACACCAGAGGACATACCCCTTGGCACTGAAGCCACTTTTCCTCCTTTTAGACTTTTGGAAGGTGGGCATCCTTTTCCTCTTCCTTTCATTTTTGGTTTTATTTGCGAAATAGTGAGACGATACGGGTATTTCCTCATCCAGCTCCTCAGAGTCATTTCTGGCAGAGCCTGTGCTGCTGGGAACGCTTCTCCGGGGGGATCTGTCCTCAGCTACAAAAGGACAACAGTTGAGGCTCACAGTGAGTACAGAGCTCAGTCTGCAGGAGGCACAGGGCGTCGCTTCATCATAGCAATTCAGCAAGAACAGAAATCCCCACCCCGCCCACTCCAAAGTGCTTAATGGCAATTTACTTTTAATAAAATAGAATCAGAATTTGTTTTAAGACTTTGTGATACTCTTTAGTTAGAGCTCTCGGGGTTAGATCACACCGTGTGGGGCCAAGTCCCTTACTGACCAGGTAACCAATCCATCAAGCTCCTTGGAAAATAGAAGGTGGAAATAAATGGTAGGCAATTTAAAAAAAAACACATTTTAAATGAGTTGAAAAAAATAACCCAGAGTAAGAGAAACCTAACTAGGATCTGTGGCTCATCCTTGAGGAAGAGTTATTCAGTAATTAAACATCAGGAAATTCTAGACAATATTTTGCTGTTGTTGTTGTGTGTTGTCGAGTCGATTCTGACTCATAGTGACCCTGTAAAGGGTTTCCGAGGAACGGCTAGTGAGTCTGAACCGCCAACCTTTGGGTTCAAACCTTGGGGTCTAGTGCTTATCCTGTGGTGTCACACCAGGACTCAACCATATTTTACTCTCTATAAAAACACTTCTTTGCATAATGATTGTGAAACATTCCACATATTACACAGGAAACTGGTCTTTATGAGAGCATGAACTTGCAAAGATGGCAATTTCCAAAGGTATCTACATCCCATGGCACCTAAAAGCAGGACATCTTCCAGTGGCCACACAGGGATCCCCTCTGCCTTTTCGGGAGAGATACTGGTTGGCTCGGTTCATCCTGTTACCTGAGAGGACACCAGTTCTGCGTCCACAGGGGGACGGGCAGTGTGGAGGTGAGAAGCTCTGCCAACCACGCTGTGGGAGTTCCGGCACAGGAGAAGGCCTCACTCTCCTGTCCTCACATGGGGGGTGGTGAGGATCCAAAGACAGAAACAGGCAAAGTGCTTGGCGCAATGCCTGTACACAGAGCCCTCCATAATTGGGAGCAGTTATCATCTGCTGTTGGCCTCTCTCCGCAGAGCAGCCTTATCTGACATCGGCAAGCCCCCCTTCCAAACCAGTGACTACACTAAACCAGTCATAAGTTCTTACCAATGTGTTCACATCAAGGCTGTGAATGGGTAACTACCACATAGAAGAAAGACTGAAAACCTACTTTTCATCATTTTGTTACTAGATAGTAAAGGGTGGTGGACACAAGCTGGACGATGTGCTTGCTCATTTCTCGTCTGGCTTCCAACTTCCACTCACCGTACCCTGGCCTGGTACAGAAATGGGAGAAAATCTGGCTTTTCTGCTGTCCTGGTACATGGCAACATGTTAGAAGAGGACACGCAACTTCTGCACTCTCACTGTCTCCTAAAACAAAACATTCCTTTGTTCTCCATTTTCCTGCAGCCAAGACTTTGCCCAGCTCAGGATGAGGCTCGTCATCAGAGGTAGGACATGACAGAGCCGACTGTGACCTTGGGGAGCAGCTGTTAGCAAAGTATCACGGGGCAGTCTATCAATGACTAATAACAGCAAGACTGGTTAACATTCCAGTGACACGTTCAGTTTTCCAAAACATTTTAAATGCTTTATCTTTAGACATGTTTGTCAGATAACATGTTCCTTCCTCAGATAAGGAAACTCAAGTACAAAGAGGCACTTGTGATCTGCCAAGGATCACAGAGTGAGATGGTGGCAGATCTGGGATGGGTACCCAAGGCTCTTGAGTCTTCACACATGTGCCTAACAGAAATGGCAACTCTTGGGTCTAAAGGTCCCTCTGTGGGTCCTGTGAGCAGGTGGGCCTAAACCCTGTTTTCTCAATGGTGCCTGGCACCCACTGGGGTGAACGCTCTGAACACTGGAGCATCTGTGTGCCAATGTGTAGGAAGCAGGAACACAACCCAGAAAGCAGTGAGACAAGCTTTTAGAAAGCACAGAATTGGCTGCATACAGAACCTGGCAATGTCCACTTGGAGTATCTCTGCAATACTGGAATCACTTCGGCACCATATTTCTCCAGTTTGTCTTCAGTCACACCATCAATTTGAAGCAAAACCTCAGGATCAGAAGATAAAGACTCTGTGCATGGGGATAAAATTAGGAATTTAAATGACCACCCATAGAAAACCCACCGAACTCATGCTCATTCACCCATATAGCACATGCTTCTTAAATGCCAACTAACTGCAAGGCACAGGCCAATTCTGGAAACAGCAAGGCTGGTGTCATTAGAGGGAAGCGACACGCCCAGTGCTTCTAGAAGCTCCAGTGAAGAAGTCAGAGCAGAAAGGGAGCGAGCCAGGGGAGGCAATGGGTTGGAACCATACATGGGATCAGGGGCGCAACACAATTTTCTTTTGCACACTGCATCTAGAGACTTGTCTAGTTCCTGAGAAAGCCCAAGTTTATATTCCTAGGGTTGGTGGTTCAAGCCCACCAGCCACCTCAGGAGAAAGATAAGGCTTTCTGCTCCCGTAAAGATTCAGTCTCAGAAACCCTATACAGAGTTGCTGTGTTGTGTGCTATTGAGTCCGTTCCGACCCACAGTGACCCTGTAATGGGGTTTCCAAGGAGCAACTGATGAGCTTGAACCACCGACCTTATGGTTCAAACTGACTTTGCAGTCCAGCGTATTAACCCACAGCACCACACTAGGACTCCAGGGTTGCTGTGAGGTGGAACCAATTCAATGGCACACAGTAACAAGGCCATAACTGAGCCCTTGCTCCCCAAACCCAAACCTGTTCTTTCTTTCTCCATGTGAGACAAAGCAAGTTCTCTGCTGCAAACTGAACACGGAGGTAGCTAGGCGTCCTCTGTGTATGGACCACGCATCAGCGTTGCGGCTACACAAGCCTGTGTTTTTTTTGTTTTGTTTTGTTTTTTGTTAAAAAGGTTTTTATTATGGATTGAGTGAAAGTTTACAGAGCCAGATCATCAGTTTTACATTCAACCAATCATACACCTTGTTTCATTACAATGATTATAATCCCCTCCAAGTACCATCAATTAACAGTATTTCTCTCTATTCACTTTAGCTTTTTTTTTTTTAAACAAAGCAAACAAACAAAAAAACCCACTCAGGCATATATAATAATTTACATCTCCAAAGGGCACATTCTGCAAGTCTGCCTCCTGGCCACCAGTTCTTAGTCCCCCTCTCCATGCCAAAAGCTTGTGTTTTCAAAGACCACTTTAATAGGTGTATGGAAACTGAGTGTGAGGGGGAAAAGTGGGCACAAGGACCCTGCTGGAAGCTAGTGTACGGTAAGCAAGGGGTGACTGGACCAGAATGTGGTTGTGGGGATGAAGAGAAGAGAGCCATTCACCTAGGTTTTAGAGGCTGAGTCTGCAGGCTTTACTGATGGATTGGCTATGGGGAGGGAGGGAGTAATAATTCCTCAAATGCTGGCAGATTTCAACTCCTTTCAGATCAGTGATTTCACATCCCTCCTATGTTTGCGGGAAAGAATAGGTCTGCTGAACAGAACAAGGGCTTATGAAGGGAGTTAGAAGGAGATAAGGTGGGAGAGGTAAGCGGAAATACAGACCCTTAATGGAACTTGTATTTTACCCTGAATTAGAGTAGAGAGCTGTTGTGGTTTCAGCAGAAGTTTTGAAAAATTAAAAATATTGGCCATTTGAATGTACACATGTCACATCTGGAGAGCCTGGGGGAGACCAGTTAGGACACTGCACAAATAGCCTAGAACAAAACACTGTATTTCACTGATTCCAAGACACACTCGCTTCTTCACACTTCTGGAATTGAGATGTGTCTCACAAGCTGCTGATGGCCGAGAGGCAGCTGTAACGAGGCTGTTACTGCCTGTGCGTGTGAGGACTTAGTCACAGCTATTAATACTGTCGGCACGTCCACAGTCACTGCATTGTCGCTTCCTCACATGTTGAGTGTAAATGCCACATGAAACGTCTTCAAACTGCTGACCTTAAGGTTGGCAGCCCGATTCGTAACCACTACGCTACCAGAGCTAGTAGTGCATAAAATCACAGTGTGTGAATCTAGATGGCGTCTCAGAGCGGATGATACATTCTGATAACCTATGGTGGCAGGAGTGCGAATGGAAAAGAGAAGATTAAGATGATTGAGAGATGTTTATGAAGGAAGAACAGGGAAGTCTATTATGTGAACCACTTGTTTTTTAAGGGACTTTACTATTGAAACTCTGGGTTGAGCTATCTGGAGCCAATGAATAACAATACATAACATAACAGTGTGCAAGATTAGAGTTCAAGGAAGCATAAAACACAACCGTTAGCTTTCCACAGCAGAAACACTTGAACATAGAATTGCGCAACACTGTAAGATAGGCGAATAATCAACGTCAAGTAGTTAAGCGACAAACTGAGTATCATTTTGATTTGAGAGATTACATCTAGCCATTTCCTAATGTCCAGCATCAGGCAAAGGTAGAAAAGATCATAGAAAAACCCCACAAAAATGAAAGACATGCATTTTTGCATTTAAAAAGCTCCTTAGCAAGACTACCTTTTGGCTTAGTCACTTGTGCCAGACAACAGACAACCTACCTGCAAGTTTCTTGAGAGTGGCTGTATTAAAAATATTGAAGTAATGGACACCGAAAACTTTCCCCAGAGACTTGCAGACCTCTGTCAGTTCTCCAAGACATTTCTTAACCATCTCTTCCCTCTGCGATACTTTCGCCTCTAATGCCTTTTGTTTTTTCACACCGCTGGAGTTTTCCGTTTCCATAAAGTCTACCTTTGTGAGAGAAAAGGAAACACATAAGGGTGAGCGCATGCATGCTGTTGTTGTTAAGTGACGTCGAATCGGTTCCGACCCATAACGACCCTGTACGTGGTTTCTGAGGAGCAGCTCGTAAGCTTGAGCTGTGTACTGTGCAGTTCAAGCTGACTTTGTAGAGTAACGCATTGACCTGCAGCACCACACCGGGGCCCTTGGATGCATGCATACGTGTGTCTAAACAGGGACTTTATTTAACACTGAATTGATTTTACGTTTGTTTTTTTCGTCTGCCCAAGTTGTCAGCAAACCCTTGGGATCAGAGGCTATGCCTTCTCATCTTTATGTCTCAAGGCCTACCCCAGAAGATAGCCTCTTGATAAACGCTCTTTCACTGAATGCATGAAGATGTCAGGATCTGGTGGCCCATTATAATGAGGCATTTTGATAGTTGGTAAGTTGTCACATTACCTGGGCTCAATTTTCAGACCTCTTTCCAAATTACTCAGAACAGAACACACTCACATTAGGCAGTCTATACAAAAGTCAGTATCCATGAGCTTTGGAAGATGCACTAGAATTTACAGTAATAGATATCCATCCGCCTGCTGTGAGGCAATAAACATTATAAGCATCGTACCTTTAAATGCCCATTCAGTACAGCTTGGGCTTTCATTCCAGGCATCACATAGGCGATTGCTTGGTCATTGGCATTGATGTATAAATCTTCATCTAAAATCTTGTCAAGGATCAGCTTTTTAAAAAGTCTTTCGGCATTGTGTCGTGAGTAAGCAGATCCCTTTCCAAATATTCCCGATTGAACTTTTGCACTTTTGCTCCCTGAGAAGAAGGTTTGAGAAGTTGATTAGTAGCTGCAGGAACAGAACCACCCTCAAACAAAGGCTGAAAATTTATGGAGAAGTTGGAATACACAGGAATAATGTACTCCACAGGAAACCCTATGGGGGGAACAGATACTCATTTCTGTAAAATGAGACTGCGTGAGGAGAGCAGTCGAATCTCTGTGTTTGTTTGTACTTTCCCTCATTTTAAAGTAACAGATGCTGACCCAAACAGCAACAAATACTCCTATCAGTTTAAAATGTTATCTATTTCCAGCTTATAAAATTAATTGTTCTTGTTGTTGTTAAGTGCTTTTGAATCATTTCAGACTCATAATAACCCTATATAGGGTTTCCAAGAAGTGGCTGGTGGGTTTGAACCGCTGACCTTATGGTCAGCAGACCAATGCTTACTCTACAGCATTATACCAGGTCTCCAAAGACATCAAAGGAAGAATTTTGACAAACTGTATCAGTTTCATATTGCTGTGATATATTAGGATGTTGTGTGCTGTTGGGTCAGTTCTGACTCAAAGTGAGTCTGAACAGGGTTTTCAAGAGCAGCTAGTGAGTTTGAACTGTTGACCTTGGGTTGTTGTTGTTGTTGTTGTTAAGTGCCTTAGAGTCGGTTCCGACCCATAGCGACCCTGTACAGGGTTTCCGAGGGTGTAAATCCTTACGGGAGTAGAAAGCCTCATCTTTCTCCCGCGGAGCGGCTGGTAGTTTCGAACCGCTGACCTTAAGGTTCGCAGCCCGATTCGTAACCACTACGCTACCAGAGCTCCTTAGCAGTCTGATATTAGAATGTTGGTTTTAATTAGGTGCTGTTGAGTGGGTTTTGACCGATAGCAACCTTGTAGAGGGTTTCTGAGAAGAGACTGGGTTTGAATGTGTGACCTTGCAGTTAATAAATAGTCCAGTGCTTATCCTACACGTCACATCAGGACTCCGTTATTAGGATTGTTGTTAAGTGCTTTTGAGTCAGTTCTGACTCATAGCGACGACTCTGTATCCGGTTTCTGAGGAGCAGCTGGTGAGTTTGAATCGCCGATTTTGCGACCTCATGGTGGAGTGCTAGTTCTCCAGTGATATTAGGATAGTTATACATTATTGACTGAGTTACAAAGTCTTAAAAATACCATCTCTGCTTGTTATTAGAAAAGTATGCAAGTCTATACCTCTTGTCACCCTTATTAATGAAACCCATACATAAACTAAAACAGTTTAAGCACAATCCCCCAAAGGGCTGGGGTGAGGGAAGTACACTTCCCCCGTTCTCCTGCTGGCTGATAGCACTGCAGTGGGCTGGATTTCCTTTGTTTCCCATCCAAGCTGCTGTAATTACTAATGTCTTCATCATAAACGCAATTTTATTATAACAATCCACTTAGGAAGCCTGTGACATTGATTATAATCAGAATTAACTGTTACTTTGTAAAGCCTCAGCTCTATTTTAAGAGTTCCAAATAATTACATTATTGCAAATTTAGATGGCTTTTGGCCATACAAACTGAATTATTCAAGTTTTGCTTTCTACAAGTGATTTGAATCCCTGAGACGTCACATTACAGAATAGCAGGATTCCTGCTTTGGAGCAGGTGGGCTGGGAGGTGTGGATCAAGCACACCGCTGAAGGTCACTAGTAAAGCTGAGGGGGACAAGCGATGTTCTTAACAACACCTCAAGGATGACAAGAAAAGGAAGACTGCGCCAGAAAAGAAATGTTTGATCTAGAAATCCTTCTGGCAATCTCTATGAAAAATGTAATCAGAGACGAAGCAAAAAGGTTTACTTAAGAGGCTATTTATCACACTGTTATTACTATCAGATAAATGTACTCTAAAATACAAACTACTTTACATACATTTATTTCATCAATATAAAATATAAATGATGTAAAAATGGTGCTCTTGAAGAATAAAAATTTAAGAAAATGCTTCTAATTGGTTACATTAAAAAGTTACAAATTAGGTATGTTGCTGTTAAGGTACTGTCAGGCTGATTTCAGATGTTGTTAAATACCATTTAGTTGGTTCTGACTCATACCAACCCTGCATCGGGAGTCCAAGGAGTGGCTGGTGGGTTTGAACTGCCGACCTTGTAGTTAGCAGTTCAGGGCTGATCCTACAGTGCTACCCTATGCCTCCATTTCAGGTTGTTGCTGTTAAATACATAATTGTGAAGATACACTTCCCCCTTCCCCCAGTGTTTTACATATGATGACCACCAACCGTCTGTCAGTTTGTCACACGTACACTACGATGCTGGAAGCTATACCACCAATATTTCACAGACTAGTCAGGTGAACCGTGATGGATACGTTTTAGCAGAGCTTCCAGACTAAGACACATTAGGAAGAAGGACCTGGCAATCAACTTACAAAAAAACCTGACCACTGAGAACCTATCACCAGCAGTGTAACATTATTTGATAACACTGCTGGAAGATGAGCCCCTCAGGGGCTCCTTAAATGCTGCCTTTTGAAAGCAGAGTTGACCTTAATGATGTGGTTGGAGCAAAGCCTTTGGGACCTTCATTTGCTGATGGGGCACAACTCAAAATGAGAAAAACCAGCTGCAAACATTCATTAATAATTAGAACTTTAAGTGTATGAAATAAGAATCTAAGAAAATTGAAAGTTGCGAAAAGTGAAATGGAACACATAAAAAACGATATCCCAGGCACTAGTGAGGCAAAATGGACAGGCACTGCCATTTTGAATCAGACAACCATATATCCTACTATGCTGGGAATGACAACTTGAAGGGAATGGTACTGCATTTGCCATCAAAAAGAACATTTCAAAATCTATCCTGAAGCACAACGCTGTCAGTTATGGGATAGTATCCATGCACCTATAAGGAAGACCACACAATATGACTATTACTTAAATTTACACATCAACTGTTAACGCCAAAGATGAAGAAATTGAAGATTTCTACTAACTTCCACAGTTGGAAATTAATCAAACATACAATCAAGATGCATTATTTACTGGTGATTGGAATGCAAAATTTGGAAACAAAGAAGGATTGGTATTTACAAAATATGGTCTTGGTGATAGAAATGGCATTCGAGATCCCATAACAGAATTTTGCAAGAACAACAACTTATTCATTGAAAATATCTTTTTTCAACAACATAACTGGTGACTACATATATGGACTTTATTAGATGGAATACACAGTAATCAAATTATCTATGGCTAGGGGTTGATAGTGGAAGAAGTCATCAAATGCAAGTTCAGTTTGAAGCTGGAGAAAATGAAAACAAATCTGAAAGAGCTGAAGCATGCTCTTGAATATATCTCACCTGAATACAGAGACCATCTTACGAGAAGAACAGAGCAAGAAGGATGTTAGAAGAGACTCTGATAAACTTGTTCTTTGACACAGAACAACTAAAGTGAACAGAAGAGATGATGATGACAGAAGATTTCAAGGGGAGCCTCAAGAAGACAGAATAAAGTATTAGAAAGACCTGGGCTTAGAAAACTCAAAAGTGAAGAACATGCTTGACACTTCTCAAGCTGGAAGAAATGAAGAAAAAAATCAAGCAATACTGCAATGTTGATTTTATGGCAAGATAATGACTAAAACAGAAAGCATCAAGGGAAGATGGAAGGAATATACAAAGTGACTGTACCAAAAAGAAGCGATTAATTTCAGGAGTAGCACATGATCAAGAACCCACAGTACTGAAGAAAGAAGCTGCACTGAAGAACTGGTTAAAAAACAAAGAAAAGGCTCCCAGAATGGATAAAGTATCAACTGAGATGTCTCAACAAATGGATGCAATATGTGGAAGTCACTCGCTTGTCTATGCCAAGAAATGTGGAAGACAGCTAACCGATAAACCGTCAGTCAGGACGAGATCCTATTGGTGCATATTCCAAAGAAAGGTGATCCAACAGAATGCAGAAACTATTAATATCACACACAAGTAAAAATTTGCTGAAGATTATTAAAAAATGGTTGCAGCAGTACATCAAGTCCAGGACTTTGCACATTTCACTTTAATACCTTACTTTGTCTTCTCAAGTTGTCCTTTGAAATTTTCTGTTCAGCTCTTTCTTCCAGTTGCTTAGTTATTCTAAGATCAAGTTATTCCAGATCAAGTTTCAGTCTCTTCTGGCATCCACTTAAGTCTTTTCTTGAATTTGTCATGTGAAATATTCTTGATGTTATCCCACAACTCTTCTGGTCTTAGGTCATCAGTGTTCAATTCAGGTAGGATATTGTGGCGAGGTAGTTATTTTGGCTCTTGTGGACGTTTGCTTTTTCTTCAGCTTCACACATATGAGCAATTGATGGACTCCAGAGTTGAGCCCTGGCCTTGTTTTGGCTGATGATACTGAGCTTTCCTACTTTGTCTTCCCACTGATGTAGTCAATTTAACTCTTGTATATTCCTTTTGGAGAGGTCCATGTGCATAGTTTCTGTTTGTGCTGTTGAAAAGGTATTTGCAACAAAGAAGTCCTTGGTACTACCAAAGTATATCATGCAATCTCCAGAGTAATTTCTTTCACCATGACCACATATTTCAAATACCAATCCTTCCTCTTTGTTTCCAACTTTCAAATTTTAATCGGTAGTAATTATCAATGCATCTTGACTGCATGTTTGATGAATTCCAGACTGAAGACGCTGGTAGAATTCTTTAATTTCTTCATCATTGACTTTGGTGGTAGGTGTGTAAATTTGAACAATAGGGGTAATTAGCTGGCCTTCATTGTAAGCATACAGATATTATCCTATCACAGATAGCATTGTGGTTCAAGACACACCTGGAAATGTTCCTTTTGATGATGAATGCAACATCATTCCTCTTGAATTTGTCATTCCCAGCATAGTAAACCACACAATTGTGCAATTCAAAGTAGTCAATACCTGTCCATTTCAGCTCATTAAGCCCAGGATATCGATCTCCATGCATTCCATTTTTGACGACTTCCAATTTTCCTAGATCCATACATTCTACGTACATTCCCCGTTATGATGATTAATGACTGTTTGCAGCAGTTTCCTCTCATTTTGCTTTTGCTCCATCCATGTCATTAAGGTCACCGTTACTTAGAAGAGGCAACTCTTCCCCAGTCATACTGAATGCTTTCTAAGCCGAGGGACTCGTCTTCTGGTACTACTATCAGACAACATTCCGCAGTAATCCATTAAGCTTGTCAGTGAGATGTGAACGCCAATTCCTCCTTCTTAGTCTGGTATTAGCCTGGGAGCTCAGCTGAAACTCGTTCACCAAGGTGCCCCTGCTGGTATTTGAAACAACACACCAGCTACCACAGTATAACAGATTGGCAGACAGGCTGGGGGCTGCCTCCACACAGAACCATAAATTATGGGGTCCTTCTGTTTGCCAGGGGAGCTACCCGGTGTTTATTTATGTAAGACAAGTATTTATCTCACTTAAACCCTCCTCTCTCTTTTCTTCATCCTTCCCAATGTTTTGTTATATCATAGTTTTGGTTCCTCTCTTGGATAATTTTATGACTGGCAATGTAATAATCACATATAAACGTCTATTTCTTGCCCATCAACTACAGATAGGACTGCTGATCACTGCTCCTCCTGTTAAATGCCGTCAAGTTGGTTCCGACTCATAGCGACCCTGTATAGGGTTTCTGAGGAGTAGCTCGTGAGCTTGAATCGCTGACCTTGTGGTTCAAACCAATCTTGTAGTCCAGCGCATTAACCCGCAGCGCCACACCAGGACTATCCCCCGCTACGTAAGAGTAAGTCATTAACACCTAAGCCTTCCCTATACCGTCGCCTCCTTTTATCTTTATTTACTGTATTTTTATTTATATTATGACAAGCTTCTTTCTGAACTTGGAAGAACATATTCACCTTTGGTTAATCCAAGAGAACAGTTACAGCATGCAGGTCAAATGGGTTCTCTTCCTGTACATTTCATCAGTACAGACATGTTACAATGTCCTTTGTTTTATATTTGATCTTGGCTCTCTCCTATATAATTTTCCCTCTGGAGTTTCTAAGTATCTTACCCTTTTTTTTTTTGTCCTTGAGAAGCAACATTTAGATTCTTCATTGTTACCAATAAAAAATTTGCTTTGTCCTGGTTCTATATATGCTTGGAACCCATTTATCTTGTATTTGTTTCAAATTGTTACAGTGTATTCAGACTGCTGTAGCTCTGAGTCTAGGATTTCTTCAGAGGCGGCTCCGTTTAGACCCTCTATTTACTAAACCAGGCCATATGCACTTTCATTGTCTTCTAGTCTCCATGGCTGCTGATAGTCATCTGATGCCAGTCTGGTTTTAGTTCTTGCTTTTTCTTTTCCGTAGCTTTCAGGATTGCCTCTTTATTCCTGATATTCTCAAATTTCACAGGATATGTTATAATTAAAAAAAATATTTGAAAGCATCATATTTGGCATTCAGAAGGAAGCTTGGTGGGTTAAATGTTGGGCTGCTAACTACAAAATTGGAAGTTCAAACTCATCAGCTGCTGTGGGGTGGGGTGGGAGGGAAGATAAGACTCCTGTAAAGATTTAGTCTCGGACACTCTAGGGTTGCTAGTGAGTTTGGTTTTGGTATTTAACAGGTCTTTTAATTGGAAGGCTTTTCCTCTCCTACTCTGGGAAATTTTCTTTTATCATTTGTTTCATAATTTCTTCTTTCTATATGCTATTGCTAAAATTTTTATTAGTCAGATTTTACATCTCCTAAGGAGCTCTGGTAGCATAGTGGTTACGAATCGGGCTGTGAACCGCAAGGTCAGCAGTTCGAAAGTACCAGCTGTTCAGCGGGAGAAAGATGAGGCTTTCTGCTCCCATAAAGATTTACAGCCTCGGAAACCCTGTACAGGGTCGCTATGGGTCGGAACCGACTCGACGGCACTTAACAACAACAATGATCAGGTCTTTCTCTTTTTCTTTCTTATTTTTCTATAGAAAGAAACTTTTTGCTCATGTCTTTGAAGATTTTCTTGACTTTACCTACTAATCTTTCATTAAATTTATTTTATCATTTAAAGAATTTCCAATAGGCTATTTCATTTGTTTCTTTTCTATAACATGCTATTGTTATTTAAAGAATACAGTATCTTAAATCCCTAAATCTTTATGTAGATACTTAATAATTACAAATCTATCCTAAATTGTCTCCATCCCACAGAATCAAATAATCTACTTATTTTGTTCTTTCTCTTGATTGTCCATTTACTTTAACCTGCAGATACTCAGTCAATTTCTTATAGGTGGGTTTTATATCTATTTTTATTTTTCCCCTGAAAGGGGATATCCAACTACCAGGCTTTGCAGTGGGGTAAGTGGATAGGACCAGACTTTGGGCTGGGCAGTCCTTAAATGCCAGAGCATTCTTCTGGGGCTCTGGCCCATAACTTAGCTGCCCTTGAACTCCACAGGCAGTTAGTTACTTTATTTTTGATGAAGGAATTAATTCTAGGCTGTCTGTTTTCTTCGTGTAGGGGGTTGGGGGATGAGACCAGGGAGGCGCTTGCTGCTGTTCTTTCGACACCCCTCTCCCTGTTTTTGGCTTCCTCTTTCCCTCCCACCCTCTGTACCGCTTGACTTCAGCCTGCAGCCCAGTGATAGGGTTCTGCCTGGTTGAAATTCGCTCCTGCTCCTATATTTATTTTGGGTTGTGGTTTACTCTATTTTCTTTTACTTGTCAACACCCTTCCACCCATTTTCTGAAGATTTTTTTAAGATCCTGACGGTATAGTGGTTAAATACCCAGCTACTAACCAACAGATTTGAACTCCAGCGGCTCCATGCAAGAAAGGCCTGGGGATCTGCTTCTGTAAAGATTACCGCCAAGAAAATCCTGGGGCGCAGCTCTACTCTATCATCTGGGGTCACCTTGAGTTGGAATGATCCCGATGGCATCAGACAACAATTGAAGAGGGCCTCTCTCCTGTTCTCTATGCCGTCATGGGCCTAATCTGATTTTACTTCCTTACTATCACTGAATAAGATCTTAAGAAAAAGAAGACAGATTTGCATCCTTGGTTGCCATCCTGAACTGAAAAGTCAGCCAACAGGTAGCTCTCCAAACAGGTTACAATCTGCTCACTCGGACTAATTTACATATGCTTCTACCCTTTTTCCTTTGAGTCTGAAAAGCTCTCATCTCAGGGACTTATGCCAGTTTCACAAGTAAGTGGCATAATTAATAAAAATGGATTGTCTTTTGTTATGCAAAAAGGTGTTATGAGTGTTTTGAATTCTCTAAGAAACAAAGAGATCATTTTTTTCTGTGTACTTGTAATGAATTCTTTAGATGTTCAATTTCAAGTAATGTAACTCAAACAAAACAGATGACTTACCCAGGAAAATGTCAACCAGCATATTCAGAGTAAACCTTCCAGAAGGACCTACATATTTTATATTTCTCATTCCTTGTGATGAATTATGTTCTTGAACAAATCTTACAATATTTTTCACATCATCAGTCACATCTCTTGTCTTAAAATCCTATCAACAGAAAGAGATAAACTTCAATTATAATTAAGATAATGATATCTGGATTTCTATGGTTTAATATTTATATATGTAACTTCATACTATACTATTTCCAGATTAAAACCTAAATGAAAAAAATCAAGAAGTTGTGAGTGTTCATTTTTTACATTATTGAGGTAACTATGTAAAACAATTAGCATTCATTACATATAATTTAAAATTCACTGACCCTGGAATCAAATGATATCATTAAATCAAATGATATACTGCACTGGGCAAATCTCCTGCAAAAGACTTCTGTTATGTTATGTGCCGTGGAGTCGGTTGCGACTCATAGTGACCCTGTACAGGGTTTCCGAGGCTGTACATCTTTACGGGAGCAGAAAGCCTCATCTTTCTCCCGCGGAACAGCTGGTAGTTTCGAACTGCTGACCTTGCGGTTTGCAGGCCAATTCGTAACCACTACGCTACCAGAGCTCCTTTATAAAGTGTGAAAAAGCAAAGATGTCACTTTGAGGACTAAAGTGCACTTGACCTAAGCCATGGTATTTCCAATTGCCTCATAAGCATGGGAAAGCTGGACAGTGGCTAAGGAAGACTGAAGAGGAACTGATGTATCTGAGTTACGGTGTTGGTGAAGAATACAAGAAGTACCGTGGCCTGCCAGAGGAACAAACAACTCTGTCTCGAAAGAGGTACAACCAGTATGCTCTTTAACAGTGAGGACGGGGAGACTTTGAGTTTGTACTTTTGACATGTTATCCGGTTGGACCAGTCACTGGAGAAGGACATCCTGCTTGGTAAAGCAGAAGGTCAGCAAAAAAGAGGAAAACCCTCAATGGGATAGACTGGCACAGTGGCTGTAACAATGGGCTCAAGCACAGCAATAGTTGTCAGGACCGCACAGGACGGAACAGTGATTGGTTCTGTTGTACACAGGGTCACTATGAGTTGCAACTGACTCAATGGCACCTAACAACAACAACGTACCTATTTTATTACTGTTTCACGTACATACATCTTATCTTTCAACTACCTGTGGGTGAGAACACTTTTGAGTTTTAATCTTTTTGCATCATCTAGAACAGTGCTCTCCCATTTACTGGCTGATAACTTTTGGGCTGAAAAGCAATGTCCAACTATACAAATTCATGAGGCCTGGTCTCTTCCGGGGTGGCGCTAAGGGATAAGCACTGGACACTGGTCACTGAGTTGGTGATTTAAACCCACCAGCCACTTCTCAGAAATTACACAGGGTCACTATGAGTTGGAATCAAGTAAAAAGTTACAATAATGCCGATTTGTTTACATATTGTCTATGGCCGCTTCTGGGCTACAATAGCAGAGGTGAGTAATAGTGGTAGACCACATGGCATGTGAAGCCTAAAATCTTTATTCTTTGACCCCTATTCTGGTGTGGCACTGGACTGCTAATAAGAAGGTCAGCAGCCTGCTCTTCAGACACACAATACAGGGCCGCTAAAAGTCGGAACCAACTTGATGGCACTTAATGACATCACAGATGACCACTTTCTCCTCAATCCCTTTCCTGTCCCCACTGTCAACTGATGACCTTGCTTCCTACTTCACCAAGAAAGTAAACCCCAAAAGAATGTTTACAAACTCCGGTTACTGCATCTACTCCCTTCCCAGCATCTGCCCCCAACATTTTGTTACCTGTTTTTATTAATGGGTTAACTAAGCTATTAAGGCTAAAATCTCTCTCTACGTATACACTAGGTAGGCTAAGCACTCAATCTCAAAGTTGGTTTGAACTGCAAGGTTGGTGGTTCAAACTTACCAGCTGCTCCTCAGAAACTCTATACAGGGCTGTTATGGGTCGGAACCAACTCAACGGCACTTCACAATTACAACACAAGGATATTATTCCAGTGATTCTCCCCTTTCTCTTATGTATTAAGCTCCATGCTCTATTGGATCCCTGGTATGGCGCTGTTCGATCAGCACTGGACTGCGAATCACAAGGTCAGCAGTTCGAAACTACCAGCTGTTTCACGGGAGAAAGACAGGCTTTCTGCTCCTGTAAAGATATTACAGCCTCGGAAACCCTGTCCAGGGTTGCTATGAGTCGGAACCGACTCCACGGCACATAACAACAACAACAAATAGGTACATTTCTGTTAACACACATAAAGCTGTTCTATTTCTCTTTCTTTTCTGGGCTCCATGGTCACTGCTGGCTACTGTTTCTATTTTTGCAACAAGACTTGAAAGAGTTGTCTGTATTTACTAGCTCCAGTTTTCCTCTCTCTCAGATACATTCCACTCTAACTGGTCAAGGCCACCATGCTTTCTGTGTGGTGCTAGCTGTAACGACGCAGCCTCCGTCTTTACTGGACTTAACGTAGCAGCAGCATCTGGTGCAGCATGGCCTCCTCCGTGAAACACATCCTGCATTCCACCTTCTTTCGGTTTTCCTCTCATCTCCCTCGTTCTCTTTCTTGGTCTCTTGTCCTAGTTCTGCCTTATCCCCCCAACCACTCAATGTCCCAGGGCTGTCTTTGGTTTCTTTCCTTCATCAAACTTATGCCATTAAAGATTTAATCTGGTCTCATGGCTTCAAATACCACCTATATGACAACCACTTGCAAATTTGTATACATATGATCAGTTTCTTCTGGAATTCCTGTATCTAATAGGCAGGTCTAACTCCTGCTCTGCCCTGCCAAACCTGCTCTGCCCGATCTTCTCCACCTTGCCTAAAGGCAACTCCAACCTTCCAGTGACTCTGCCTCAAAAGCTAGGAATCATATGAATGAAGATATCCTTAAAAACATGTCCAGAATCTGACCATTCTTCCCACCTTACCTCTATCACCAAGGTCAGAGTCACCATTGGCATCCTTAGCAGGTTTTCTGCTTCTATCCTTGTCTCTTTCCAGGGCATTCTCTGCCAGAGGCATCCTTTTAAAACTAACTGAGATCGCATCATTCCTCTGTTCAAAACCCCCTATTTCAGTTACAATTGGTCCTACTGCTCTGGCTCCCCAGGATCTCGCCCGTGCACTAACTCTGAACTCTGTTTAGTCACAGGCTTTTTTGCTGTTCCTCAAATGCCCCAGCACACCCCCGACCTGGGTGCCAACTCTTCTGCCAGGAATGCTCTTCCCTAGAGAGCTGCTTAGTGAAGTCCCTTACCTTTACTAACACTTTGTTCATCAACTTCTCAGTAAGATTCCTCTGATCATCCTAAAAGGGAGCTTCAAAAGGTTCATGGAAAAATTCTATTATGTTCTCACGCCATTTTCCCATGAACGTTTTGGAGTCCAATATATATAACACTGCATCCTGCACCTGCCCCCTGCCATTACTCCCGTCTCCGTACTTAGGTGCACTTTTCTTTTAATCAACACTCTTATCCCTAACAAGTGATTTCCTTATTATATATATCCTTTGTAATCTGCCCTCTCTGCTAGAATGCAAACTCCACAAGGCAGTCATCTGGACCCCCATGGTTCAGTGACATGTCACAAACTCCTAGGACCGTGCTTGTGACAGAGGAGGTGCTCAGCAGTCTTTGTTGGATGAGAGAAGTGTGAACAATGTATGTGGGGTGGTGGTGGAGGTGACCGTGGCCTGTAGATGCTACATCAAGGAGAGTCACCCACCCTCTGCTCTGGCACTGTGGACCTGCGTAATTGCAGCTACTACACAGCTATATAAACACACACACAAAGAAAGGTAAGCCAAAAGTGTTGCTAATAGGGTTTCAGCTCATATATGCATGGGCTTATTCCAAACACAATGTGTTTAAACGTGTCTCTGCAGTCAGTGGATGGTTATAGACAAGTTCTCTCAGAAACGCACTTGTCTTAGTCTTATTGGTAAGTGCTGTCAAGTCAATTCCAACCCATAGTGACCCTGTATAGGGTTTTTCAAGGAGCAGCTGGTGAGCTTGAACTGCTGGCCTTGCGGTTCAAAGCGACTTTGCAGTCCAGCGCATTAACCCACAGCGCCACACCAGGACTCCCCATAGTTTCATTAAGATGCCCTGAAAAAAAAAAGGACACTTGTGACATGGAAAAAAATACACTTTTGAGGTCAGAGTTTATATAAAAATTTTACCAAAACGCAAGTAGACATCTTCCCAAATCACACTGAAGCTTTGCAACAACTTTACAGAATTCTACCCCATATAAAACAACAGGTTTTAGGTAAAGCAAGTGCTTTCAGAAAGGTTGGAAAACTTCAAAGACGAGCCAATAGAGGGAAGAAGACCATCGACCATGACAAACGAAGTAACTGAAGCTGAAGTCCAGAAAGGAGTGGGAGAAGTCCACAGAATTACCACTGATGTGAAGGCTACTGAAGCTGGGATCCGATTTCCAATTCTAAGAGAACATCGTGGTCTCAGCAAGCTTTTGGCTCAATGGTGCCACAAGCACTGTGTGAAGATCTGCCAGCTCAAAGAGCTGATCGTTCCAGCAGCCTTTTAAGCAAGACTGAAGCTAACGAAGACGATTTTATGGAAGGAATTGTAACTGGGGACAAGTCTTGTATTTACTAATATGATTGAGACAGCAAGTCCAACCCAAACAGTAGCTTCCAAGGGGATCTGTTGGGCCAGTTAAATTCAAAGTAGAGAGGTCAGCTCAGTACATTTAGGAAGGGAAGTCTTAAAATATTTTTTCCAAGGACACAGAATAATCATAGGGGCTAGTTATAAAGTTTTAAGAAAACGTAAAACTGCATTGGTGAGAAAAAGGCCAAGAAAGTTGTGCTGAGGAATTTATTACCATCATGACATTCTTACCAACATGCTCATTCTTGAGGGTAGCAAGAGCTGTCCTAGCAGAATTTCCTTGGGAAACCTGACCCGATTTACTCTATAGCCCTAATCTTTTCTATTCAGATATATTTTTGTTGTTCCCCAAACTCCATATATCAAAGGAACATGATTTGAGTTCCCAAAGGATGCCTAAACCACCACTTTGAGTAATGCAGTATATCTTGTAATGAGCCATTGAGTTGGTTTCAACTCATAGCAGCCCTATATAGGATTTCCAAAAGTGGCTGGTGGGTTTGAACTCCCAACCTCGTAGTGCTTATTCTACAGCATCGCACCAGGGTATAAATCTAAGCACACAGAATTCTTTAAGGGAAGGGATGTTGTTGTTGTTAAGTATCGTTGAGTCGGTTCCGACTCATAGCGACCCTGTACAGGGTTTCCAAGGTTGTAAATCTTTACGGGAGCAGAAACCCTCATCTTTCTCCCGCGGAACCGCTGGTAGTTTCAAACTGCCAACCTTGAGGTTAGCAGCCTGATTCGTAACCACTATGCTACCAGAGCTCCTTAAGTGAAGGGATAGAGCGATGGAAACACCGGCTTCCTAAGTGTAGAGGCCTCGATGGAGGTTCGGGTGCTGTAGCCTCCCTAACCTTCATATTTTGATAATTTTTTTCTATAAAGGTTTCTGATTCTGTAGATAGACTTTCTGACTTACCCTCATATAGCTGTCTCCCATCTAGTCTGTGAAGTGGTGTGCATCATGCTCATCCCTGGCACCTGCCACAGAGCCTACCTAGCATGTAGATTCATATTTGGTTTCTAAATCTATAAAGTGAGCACACTGTTTGCCCATGTAATTTCATAGGGAAAGTTGGTTAAATAATATGTTGGTGTAGTGCTGTGGGTTAATGTGCTGGACTGCAAAGTTGGTTTGAACCACAAAGGTTGGCGGATCAAGCTCACCTGTCACTCCTTGGAAACTCTGTAAATGTCCACTGTGGGTTAATGTGCCAGACTGCAACGCCGTTTGAACCTCAAGGTTGGTGGTTCAAGTTCACCAGCTGCTCCTCAGAAACCCTAAGCAAGGTCACTATGGGTCAGAACTGACTTGACGGTACTCAACAACAACAATATCCCAAATGTGAAAATGTTATGTAAGTTGTAGAGTGAAAAACACATTAACATACAGAGTTAGCACGATGTTGTTGTTAAGTGCTACTGAGTTGGTTCCGACCAATAGAGACACTATGTATAGAGTTTCTGAGAAGCGACTAGTGAGCTTGAACTGCCAACCTTGCGGTTCAAACTGACTTTGCAGTCCAGTGCATTAACCCACAGCGCCCCACCAGAAGTTCACTTACCATGATTGTAGTAGTGGTGTGCTGTGGAGTTGGTTTCGACTCACAGCAACCCAGCATAGGGTTTCCATGGCTATAAATCTTTATGGGAGCAGAAAGCCTCATCTTTTTCCTGCAGAACAGCTGGTAATTTCAAACTACTGATCTTGAGATTAGTAGCCCGACTTGTAACCACTATATCGGAGGCTCCTTACCATGATGTTGTAGTTATGTGCCGTGGAGTCGATTCCGACTCACAGTGACTCTGTACAGGGTTTACGAGGCTGTAAATCTTTACGGGAGCAGAAAGCTTCATCTTTTTCCCGTGGTACAGCTGGTAGTTTCGAACTGCTAACCTTGCGGTTCACAGCCCGATTCGTAACCACTACGCTACTAGAGCTCCTTAGAAGTAAACATACAGTACGTACCCAATTACATTTAACTATCCAAGGTTATTTTTAGAACAGATAGCAAACTCACCCAGAAGCCACTGCCATTATCCTTTACAGTTTAAAAAGACCCTAATTTAGAAAGTAATATACTTGATCTGAAGGAGTCTTGGAAGCATAGTGGATTATGAGCTGTGCTGTGAACCGCAAGGTCAGCAGTTCTAATCTATCAATTGTTCTGTGGGAGAAAGATGACGCTTTCTGCTTCCGTAAAGATTTACAGCCTCAGAAACCGTCTACAGGGTTGCTATGAGTCAGAATCAACTTGGTGACACACAACTACCACTACCGACACCACACTTGATCTGAATTTAAATACAGAGAATAGTAGCTTTGTAACTCTCTTGAAAATGAAAGCTTTATATAGGTTGTATTTAAAATATCTTACCTGCCCGAGTTGGACCATTTTACATATTTATTCTGATATTCACAAAATATCCTATAATCATAGGTACACCTCAGTATTCTGAACCGGCCACTGTCCAGTACATATTTCTTTATATAGGCTTCTAACGCTAAAGGCAATGCCATCATTATTTTTAAATGTTTGTATTCTAAATTGCTATGGTGAGGAAGCCTTTTCCCGCCCTGTGCAGCTCCTTAGGCCCTAGCTATTACAACTTACTTCATACCTACTTATTTAAATTAAGAGAAAAAAGAAAAAAATCTTGGTAATTTTCTCAATTTAAAGAATTTTACACTTTCTTACATTACCTTTGTTTTACAGCAATTATCACAAGAAACATCTGGGTATTTCTTACAAAAATCAGGATTAAACTCATTTTCACCAAAGTAAGCCAAAAGCTGCATTCTCCTGCATTCCGTTATATTTTCACAATAATGTACCATGCTATACAAATTATTGAAGTGAGTCTCTTTTGTATGTTGGTTTCCATCTTTTTCCACTAAAAGAGATAAAGAACACAGTGAAACACACTTGATTACAGCAGAAAATAAGTATCACAGATTCATATAACTGAATATGTAATGAAGTGAATGAAATAAATTATTATTAGCTCCAATATGACATTACTTTATAATTAACTGTGCATTTATATATGTTCATGCCTCAAGATTTTAGGTTTTTAAAATATAAATGTCAAGTTATTAAGAATAGCTGAAACAGTTTTACAAACTGTTACTTACGATGACGGTACTACTTAATAATAAAGTCACATATAAACATATCCAATAAGTACAAACTGAATGGACTGCCCAAAGCCAGCAGAGCCTGGAACTACAGCAGCGGACAGCATGCCTCCCGAGTAGCTCTGGCTAAACTGGCTAAGCCAGCAGTTCCAAAACTGTGTGCCAAGGAGTCTCAGGGCACCACAGTAAACGTGTTGGGGCAATGATCAGAAAATTTAAGGGAAACTCAGCAACACTTGCTATCTGCTAGACATTGTGCCAACCACTTGTTCCAGGTAGTTCATTGTTTTAACGTTAGATTGTACTACATTCTTTCCAATAACATCTTATTTTTGTGAAGCTGGGCTTTTGGCAGTTGCTATGATTAAAACAAGAGCTCTGGTGAGGCACCGTAGGATAAGCACTGGATTGCTAACCATAAGGTTGTCGGTTCAAATCCACCAGTTGCTTCTCAGAAACTCTATACAGGGTTACTATGCGTCAGAACCGAGTTGATTGTACTTACCAACAATGATTAAAACAAGTATTTAGAGAAAATCAAATAAGAAATGAGGGGGACAATGTCCAGCTGGATTCCACAGTTTGAGAACAACAGGTGTATACTTGTCATCAGTGAGTAACTGTGATTATTTAAGAATGAAATAAGAACATTGTTTTTCTTTTAGCTTATGAATAATATTTTTTCAACAGATACTAAGTTATTAGAATGGGAATCATTATGGTCTAGGGCAACTTACAGGACTCTTCAGTCAGACAAGTCTAGGTTCCATCAGGGCTCTGCTAGAGTTAATTTAAAAATAGTCTCAAAATAGATCCAGGTAGTTAGGAAAAAATGAACTATCACAGCCCAATACAAAAAGGGGCAAAGAACATAATCAAATTCTAAGATCCGTTTTCATTTTGACCCAGCTACTCTAGAAATTTATTGTCTATGTATCATTATCCAAATATCCAAAGATATCTGTATAAGGATATTCAATATTGCATTGTTGTTAACTGTGAAAAACAACACATACTTTAAATAGCTATTTTGATGAGATTGGTTAAATAAATATGGAATAATCATACTATGGAATTCCATGTAATCAAGCTATTAGAATGGGTATGACAACTATATCATCAAGTGGACTGAAAAAAGGTCACTATCTACGAAAAACAAACATACAACAAAATCTCACTTAGGTTTTAAAATACATGGTTGTGGCCAGCAAGCACCAAATTCAAGACATTGCCTACATATGATAAGGGAGTAGAGGGATCACCTTTTTGTATGTTTGAAAGGTGTGTTATATGCAAGATGCATGCAGCGATTGGGCCTGGAAGGATACAAATAAACTAATAACTGGAGATATATCTGAGGGCATTGTTTGGGATTTTTAAAAAACTTTATACATGTCTGGATCACCAGAGATTGACACAGTAAACCTGTAAAACCCACCAGCTGCTTCTCAGAAGCCCTATACAGGGTCGCTAGGATCCAGAACTGACTTGCCGGCACTTACAACAACTGTTACAATAAAAATGAATATAAATTAAAATTTCCAGATGTACAACATCTCTGGTGGCACTGTGGGAGAATAACATGGCAGTCTGCTTCATCAAGATTTAAGTCTTGAATCTTAAGACAGTTTCAGAGTGGACAGAAGTATTTCTACTCTGTTCTACAGAGTCAACTGGAATCGACTCCATGGCAGTGGGTTTTCTTTCTTCTTAACCCTACGACTATTTAGGGACAACTGGACCAAAAGTAGCACAAAAAAACAAAGTAGCTCACTATTGTGAGACTGCAGATGACAGAGTGCCTTCACAATGAGGCTCAGCTTACTCAATATAAGTCTTTTCAGTCTTGTCACATCATGATAGGTGTAGAAAAGCAGGCAGTGAGATATTTCCCCATCTCTTCCAGCTCGACCAGATTCCTGGTAGTAACCCTCCATGGATTTAGGGAGAGATGCATGGATCACAAATCGCACATCCGGCTTGTCAATCCCCATTCCAAATGCAACTGTGGCACAGATAACCTGATAGAAGAGCAAAAACTTGTTAGATTCACAGGGCATTTAAAGGGGCATTTGAACAGATGCTTTTAAACGTTCCACCTCCCCGATTTTACTTTAAAATATATTCTACACAACGACCTAATAATAGCTTAACTTAATCCCACTTTTTATTATGACTAATGAGAGATTTTCATATTGATACTTTGAAATTCTCTTGAGACTCAAGAAGGCACAGAGACGCTCGGTATGGTAGGGATTCTCTTGTGTGATTCAGCCTTCTCAGGTAAGGAAGCTGGCATCAACTGCAGTCACCCCTGGATGTGTCGTGCTTACGTTTATGGTATTGAGGTGGGGGGGTGTTGCTCAGAGGCAGGCTATCCAGGTCAGTGAGCATACACAGCGTGTTGCTCAGGAGTTCTGGGCTGTTTCCAGGGTTTGAGCTTCGGAGGTAATTGCTGCCAGTTCTCTGATGATTCAGGAACAAAGGCATTCTCACCTGCTCTCGTGCAAACCATCAGTTTTCCCAGCAGCAGCTCCTCATCACACACCAGCTCCTATGAGTCATCAGCTGATTTTAGAGTCAAAACTTACAAGATATTTATTGAAACTCATGTGGGTAAAAAACAGAGAGCTGCTTACATGGAAAAAGGAAAAAAAAAAAAAGGCTGGGTATTGTGGATCTTGGTCCATTTAAAGTACTGTAAGCAATGTGATAGTTAAAATCCAGCAGTTTGATAGCAAAAAAATGGATTTTTAGGAATATTCATTTCAGTTGCAAATTCAGGGCCTATTTAACCCAGATAAAAACCTATCTCTAAGCAAAATTACATGATTACATGATACAAATAAACCTGCATGGCTTTTTTTTTTAAGCACTTAAAAATGAATTGCTACTGGAAGAACAGTATTTCAAAAGCAGCTGAACTATCTGGCAGTGAGACTGAGGCTGATGACATGATTTCAGTAACTGTGAACACCAGAAAAAGGTACTGCAAGCTATGAGTTTGTACAAAGCAAATGGGTACATTTATCAACGTGGGGAAAGGCAGTGGCCCGCCTTCTAGCTAAGTCATCCCTATGGCACTTTGATCAAAGTCAAATCTCCTGGGAAAGAGAAAGTCCACGATAGCCTCTAGTGGTGGGGAGCAGGCACAGAGGGCAGCCATCGGGTGAGAAGCTGTTGTTGATCAGCAGGGGTACCCTGAACCAGAAGCATCTCCAAAGGTGCATGTGGGCACTTGACTCTGAGGCAGAGTCTGCAGGATCTGAAGGAGGCCACCGCGCTGCCAACTCTTTCTGGAAGCTCTTATTTCTTGTTAACTGAGAAAACTTGCTTTGCTGACTTACTTCCTTCTTCATTCCTGTGTTTTTTGTGTTGTTTTTTTTTTAAAAAAAACAACTTCGAGCAACAATCATTTCTTTGTGAACAAAAACAGCTAAGTTTTATTTTACCTGACAAATCACGCAAGATCAAGGCTGTCCAGTTGGTGTAGGCTAACATTATACTTTGACTGAACTAGCTAGCCTGAGAACATAACAGTTTGATTTAAAAAGTACAAAAAAAACCCTAAACCCCAATTTTACCATATTAAAGAAACCCACAGATATATACATACATATGTGTGTGTACATAAGCCCATTGTCTATAAAGTGCTTCCAACTCATAGTCAGCCTGCAGGACAAAGTAGAACCGTCCTAAGGGTTTTCCAGACTGTAGTCTATACTGAAGCAGACTGAAGGCTTACCCAATGTGCCTATATATCAATTTTCAGAATATGGAGAAAAAGAAATCTTAATTACAGGATTAGGAGCACCCATTCTTAATTTCTAGCCTATTTCATTCTAGACTTTCTTTTGTTCATTCTGCTTGAAAAACTCACCAAAATTTTTTACATGATTGAGATTGTTGTTGTTAAGTGCCATTAAGTCGTTTCCGACTCACAGTGACCCTATGTAGTGTTTCTGAGGAGTGGGTGCTAACTTTGAACCACCAAGCTTGTGGCTAGTAGTCCAGTGCTTATCTTAAAGTGCCAATCAGGACTCCACAAGATTAAACACTTCCAAATGGTATCCTTTTCTATCATTAGCATCTTAACAGCTTCATATCATTAAAGAGTAGAAACATACCACAATTTACCTGTTCTCTCAGAACATTTATGGTATTTAGAATGTTTCACTATAAAAAAATAACACTGATATCAATTCCACATCCATATTTCAGATTGGGAGTGCTTGATATAGTCTGCCATATTGTCTTCCAAAATAACTGTCCTGAAGACTGTATTTATCCTTTAAAACATCTTCACCAATTAAATGTCTGCTGATTTGAAGGTAAAAAATGGTTTCTTGTGGTTTTCAATTTGAATTAGTTTGATAATGAGCAAAATTCAACTTTTAAGAAACAACTGTTTTTAACCATTTCGTATTTCCTCTTTTAGAATAATCTGTCTCTAGTTTGGGCTCATTTACTTCAACTGAGACTCATGTTTTCTTACCAAAATATTACAGGCGCTTCATTTGTATTTTGTTTGCTGAAGGTAAATTTTGCTAGTTTTCAGAGATCATCTCACTGAAACGAGTACTATTGATTGTTGAACCTTTTTCCTGATAGTATTCCACTACTGGCCCTTGGAAATCCCAGAAAATTGTTGTTGTTAGGTGCCATCGAGTCGGTACTGACTCATAGCGACCTTCTGCACAGCAGAACGAAACACTGTTTGATCCTGGAACAACCTACTGTTGCCACACTTGAGCCCATTGATGCTGCCACTTTGCCAATACATCTTGCTTGGGGGCCTTCCTCTTTTTCTCGGACCCTCCACCCTACAAAACATGATATCCTTCTCCAGCCACTGGTCCCTCCTGACAATATGTCTGAAGTATAAGAGATGAAGTTTGGCCATCTTGGCCTCCAAGGAGTACTCTGGCTGCACTTCTTCCAACACACATGTTGGTTCTTTTGGAAGCCCATGGCACTTTCAATATTCTCCTCTAACACCATAACTCAAAAGCATCAATTCTTCTGTGGTCTTCCTTATTCCTTGTCCAGCTTTCGCATGCATATGAGGTTATTGAAAATACCATGGCTTGGGTCAGGTGCACCTTAGTCTTCAAGCTGACATCTTTGCTCTTCAACACTTAAAAAAGGTCTTGTGCAATAGATTTGCCTAATGCAATACATCATCTGATTTCTTGACTGCTGTTTCCATGAGTGTTGATAGTTGATCGAAGAAGAATGAAGTCCTTGACAACTTCAATCGTTTCTCCATTGATAAATAAGTTGTTTATTGTTCCAGTGGTGAGGATTTTTGTTTTCTTTACATTGAGATGCAATCCATACCAAAGGCTGTGCTTTTTGATCTTCATCAGTAAATATTTTAAGCCTTCTCCACTTTTAGCGAACAAGGTTTTCATCTGCATATTGCAGGTTGTTAATGAGTCTTCCTCCAATCTTGATGCCATGTTTTTCTTCATAGAAACCAGCTTCTTGGATTATTTGCTCAGCATACAGGTTGAGTAAGAATGGTGAAAGAATACAACCCTGTTGCACACTTTTTAAAATTTTAACCATTCAGTGTTCCCATGTTCTGTTCGAACAACTCCTTTTGGTCCATGTACAGATTCCTCATGAGCACAATTAAGTGTTCTGGAATACTCATACTTTGCAATGTTGTCCATAGCTTGTCATGATCCACACAATCGAAAGCCTCTGCGTAGTCAGTAAAGCACAGGTAAACATCCTTCTGATATTCTCTGCTTTCAGCCAAGATCCATCGGACATCAGCAATGATATCCCTCATTCCACGGCCTCTTCTGAATCCAGCTTGAACCTCCGGAAGTTCTTTGTTAATATATGCTTGTAGCCATTTCTGTATTACCTTTAGTAAAACTTTACTCGCATGGGTTATCAAAGAGATTTTCCGAAGATTTCCACATTCCATTGGAAACTGTAAGCATCAATGTTCCAGCTGATGGTTGACTTTGAACTTTTTCTTGGTCGGTGACTGAGGATGTTTCCATTCCATCCTATGCCGTTTACTCTCAGGCTCCTAGTGACTAATCCATTTCTCCTTACCAGTAACAAAGTTTTAAAGAAAGTTTTACCTTCCTTCGATTATTGGTCCAAATTTTGTTCGCAGATGTCCAAACGCTTCTGTGTATGCTCTTCTGTGAGTTGTTTCAGCACCCATCTCGCACACACTTTTTGAAACCCAAGTCTGTCATGGATGATTTCATAGGCAGGGTAATGGCTGATGTGCAAATGATTTGCCACCTAATCCACTGTCACTTGTCTATTCAACAGAATCATTTCATGAGCATGCTCAGTGTTGTTATCAGCTGTGGACGTGGATGAACACTTTAATATAACCGGAATATGGATAATTTTTATATAAGCTTGCTTATATACTATAAAATAATGTTTCATTTTCTTACCCTGTACTGGTTGGAATGTAAAATGGTAGAGGCATTGTGAAAACAGGTATGCAAAGGTAAATGCACACAGATCAACGTTTATTGTTACTTACCTGCTTAGTTTATGCTAATAGTGGTGGAATGATTTGGAAAAGAAAGCAGTAATGGTCACACAACATGCAGTGATCAATGGCCATGAACAGTGCGTGTAGAAACTGTTGAGACTGTGTATGTTTTGTTCTGTAAATTTTTACCATGATCAAAATTTATGTTTCTTATGGAGGCTAAAAAACCTAAAATGTCCTTTTATGTGTTCATTTAAAGAAATGTTACCTGGCAACCATCCTGATTGATCCACTTGTGCTGCACTTCATCTCTAGCACCGTCACTGAGGCCGGCGTGATACGCAAGCGCATCGAGCCCATCTTTCTGTAATGTGTCAGCCATTGTGTCACATTCTCGCCTAGAGAGGCAGTAAATTATCCCCGAGTCGTCTGCCAAGAAACCAAACAGTATTGTGAAATGAGAACTTCTAACATAAAGAACACAATTTACATATGTTCTTAGAAACACAGGAACCATAAATAGATCTCCATGGTTTTCTTGTAGTGGAGAAGGATCACACAGGCATAACAATCCAAACAAGGAATTCATGTGCATAGGAAATGAGAAGGTTTGGTCGGTGATCCTGTCCCATTAGTGACTCATTCTGAGGTGATCCCTGACAAGCCCTGGTTCTACTTCACAATGACTATTCAGAGGTAAGGGACACTTACACATCATACAATGCCTGTGGCAATGCACACCAAGACTCTTAAATGTTCATACCCTTTGACCCATTCTCTTCTAGGAAATACACCTAAAGAATCATTTGAAGTTGCTGTTGTTAAGTGTTAAAGAATCAGTTCTGACTCACAGTGACACTGTACAGGGTTTCTGAGGCTGTAAATCTTTGTTCTGTGGAGCAGCTGGTGGGCTCAGACCTCCGGGCTTGTGGCTTACAGTCCAGTACTTCTTACTGAGCCACTGCAATCCCACCAATCTGAAGTAGTATCCACATTATGTCAGAAGTTATCTTATATTAAAAACTTAGAAATATTAAAAAACTCAGAAACATCGTAAAGGCCAACATGAAGAGAATAATTAAGAAAGTAAATTGTGAAATGAAATAAGCTGTAATTATTAAAGGCATTTCCTAAGTTACATGGAAAAATGCTCAGGACATAAATCAGGTTAAGGTTAAAACTGTGTGTATCGAAGGAGCTCTGGTAGCGTAGTGGTTACTAATCGGGCTGCTAACCTCAGGGTCAGCAGTTTGAAACTACCAGCGGTTCCACGGGAGAAAGATGAGGCTTTCTGCTTCCGTAAGATTTACAGCCTCGGAAACCCTGTGCAGGGTTGCTATGAATTGGAACCGACTCCAAGGCACATAACAACAACAACAACAATACGATAGTGCTTCAAAAAGTTTGTGGAAAAAGGAATTAAAGATAATGGAATTTTGCCACAAACTTTCTGAAGTCTTTTTGTGTACACGCACACACAGATTAAAAAAGTTCTTGTAAAAATGAAAAGATAAGGGCATGATCAAGCTTACCTCAGTACATTGGGTTGATAAGGATGGGTAACTTAGGCATTGGCTATCAAAAATGAGGAGCTATAAAGGCACAAAGTGGCTGGCTTACAAGTAGGGAGAGACAGAGCAGCTGAGGATTCTAGACCCATGACTGAGAAAGTCTGTGTGCTTGCTGGCAGGAGGCTGGCTTGCAGAGTATGCCCTTTAGAGGTAAATAATATTGACTGATGGTACATGGAGGGAATTGTAATCATTGCAATGAAGCAAAATGTGTTTTATACAATGTAAAATGATTATCTGCACTATAAATTTTCACCCCTGCAAAAAAAGATGAGGGAGTTTTTCCACGAACTTTTTAAAACCTCAGCATATACACATTATGCTAATTAAAAATATATCCAAAAGTTATTTTAAGGAAATAAAGCAAAAATAATAATAGTGAGGTTTAGCTTTTGTTTTTTTCATCTCTTTGTGGCTTTCTAAATTCCCCTCGGGAGTCCTGGTGTGGCACTATTGGAAAAGCACTGACCTGGTAACCACAAAGTCGGCAGTTCATGCCCACCAGCTGCTCCTTGGAAATCCTATACAGGGTTTTGCTATGAGTTAACTGACTATATGGCACATGGCAGCAGCACCAAATTCTCCTCAAAAGTCATATATTTATTATTGTTTTTAATATACATAATCTTGAAAATCAGGAAACTTAAGGTTTTAAAGTCAATTCTGTGGCAGAGCCAAAGGTATGGAAGCATACACTAAATTATTCACATAAGTTGCCTTGTAAAGAGGAACCTGAAAGAGAAATGACTGACTTTATGCTTGTACATGTCTTCTTGGTTTGAGGTGTTTCAAACAAGCATGTCTTCTAATTTAAAAAAAAAAAAAAAGAAAAGAAATGCTTTTCAAATCATTTCTCTCTGGAAAAGGGAGTAAGAGGCTACATGATAAATTGCAGTGAACTTCAGATCTTATTTCAGCTAATAAACCTCAAAAGCAGACATAATCGGGAGAAAGCATTAAAACAAAGAACTGTACAATTCATATGCTGATAACAGCCAGAGGAAAGGCACTGAAACCCAGAATTATAATAAAGGTATATATAAGAGGGAGTATTTAACATATTTTTTGTTAGGGTTTATTGTCATCAAACCAAATGCGATTTTACAAATCACAAGAATTGAAAGAGTTGCAATATTCTGCTCTATAAATAGCATGAGCGTGCTATCAAACTAAGAAAAGAAATGTTTAGTATGTAATTTTACATATCCCATTGTGCCACTAAAAAGACACTTATTATTTATAGACATAATTCACATGGTGTACTCACGTGGGTGATGCTTTCTGATCCAGTCCAAGCAATCAAATGCCACCTTTTTAGGCTTTTTTGGTAATACATAGTATTTCAGATTATGTCTGTTAAAACTCATGCTAAACCTGAAAAACAAAACAAAACAAAAAAAAAACCCCAAACATAAAATTTAGCACGATGGGAAAATATAGTTTCAGTCACGTTCAAAAATTAAATAAACACTGATTTTCCACAGGCAAACAAATGTTGTCTTAAGCTCAACATTGTCACAGGCAGTTTAAATCGTCTGAAATTCAAGTTAGGCTAAGGGTTAAAGACAGGAATGGTGCTGGAGAGAGAAGGGACCACATCTGTGGGACCAGATGACAAAAAATTACATGTAGAAGCCAACATACAAATGAGACGTCGGAAGTCTAGTCTTCAAGAAGAGGTAACTAAAAAGAGATGGCTAACGCATGATTTATAAGATTAAGGAAATCATAGAGAAAACATGCATGTTTTTAGACACCAATGTTTTCAAATTTTGACTGCATACAAAAAAAGGTTGCTTGCAGGCAGTAGAAGGAACTAAAGTCTTAGAGCGCATGGAGTAGACTTTTGACTTCTCCTTCTGTTTTTTTTTTAATGTTTTATTGTGAATTATATGATAGTTTACATGGGAGAACATTAGTCTTACATTCATTCCATCATATATCATCTCATTGCCATGGTTCCAATCC